ACACGAAAGACCCCGAAAAAAAAAAAAAAAAAAAAAAAAAAAGGCTTGAGGAAGGAGGCAGCCTGACACACGGATTCCTCGTGATTCCTCGTGTCTTTGGGGCCTAGGGCCTCTTAGGTCTTCAAGGCCTTCAGACTTCCGGAAGTGGCTATTCCCACGCCGAGGCTCCTCCAGGCCGGATTGGCTCCGCGGGCCGGGGGCGGGGCCTAAGCGCGGAGCCGGAGTAATGCGGTCAGGCGCCATTTCCTGTGGTCGTTGGCCGGGAGGACTCTCGGCTCAGACACTAAGGGGCTTTGGCGACCAGGAATGGCTCCTCACCCTGCTGTGTGCCTCCTGTGGTGAGTTGGGGGTTAAGGGGTGAGGAGGGCAGCGGAGTGCCGTGGGTCTCTAGCTTTGTCCGTGGTTCCAAACCCTAGTTGCCTTGAGACCATACTGCTGGTGTGATATCCAGGAAGGAATTACAGGAGGTGTATTGGGAAAGCGTCTTTATCATTTTCTTTTTATTTTTTTTTGAAACAAAACAAACGTTTACCCAGTAAATCATCACTAATACCCACTATGTACCGGTCATTGTACTAAGCACCTGGGAATTGATGAGCAGATCAGGCATGGCTCCTCTCAGGAGGCTGTTAAATAAAAGTGACAGGTGGCTGTTGTTTTGGACTAAACTCCTGCACTGGTCCCTCACAGACCAGACCCAAAACCAAAACGGTGTCATTGATGCTAAAATTCTACTTCACTAAGCCCAAACTAAGCTGTTTACCTGACCTTCAGAGAACCAGAAGTGATAACAGCCTCAAAAGCTAATTTCAGTTAGCATGATAATGAAATTCCCGCTATTTAACTCCTTACAAAAAGAAGCAACCTCAAGTAACCTGACTGAACTAATCAGTTATTTTCCTATTATTTTGGCTTTCTTATCCATGCCTTAAAGAAAAGTAACATTGAAATGACCAATCCACTTTTTGTTCTTTTGTTTCTTTTTCTTTTCTTTTTTTTTTTTTTTTTTTTTTTTTAACTTTTACAAAGTTTATTATTGGGGCTAGCAGGTGGTATGGTGTTTAGGATACTGGACTCTTTCGGGAGCTTGTGTGCCCTAAAGGAAATTTAAAACAAAACAAAACAACAAAACTAATAATAAATAAAATTAAATCAATTCTTTTTTTAAAAAAGTTTATTATTTATTTATTTATCTCTTCCATGAGTGAGAGAATAACAGCACCCCCAACAGGGTCTTGATGCCATAATCCACCTCAGTCTCAGCAAACCCCAGATCATGATGGGCATGCTTGTGTCTGGTGTGTTCAGGGAGGTCTCCAGATGTAAACCTGAAGCCTCCTGTGGGCCAGCCTTGCATAGCATTGGGTTTTACCACTGTGCTATTCTGCTCCTGCTTCTGCTTTCTTCAGCCTTTCTATGTCTATAAAACCAAACTTATCTTCTCCATTCATTGAAACACTTATTTTATGTAACAAAATGTTGCCTGATTCAAGTCAATAATAAAGCCCATAAAATCTTTAAATTGTTGTAATTTTGTTTTTTGAAAAAGATTACCATCTAGTGTGGGAAAATGATGAGGTAGCAGAGACATTGTGGTGTGTTTAATGCTCTGATGGGGTAAAGGGGGCACAAAGTGTTGCAGGAGCATAGGCAACAACACTAAACCAGATGTAAGGACACAGAATCACTCTTCACAAGAGGAGACATCTCAGCAGAGACCTAACTCCACTCCCTCTTCAGCCTCCTTCTCTGCTTCTCTCCTGGCTTCTGAAAATCCATCTATGCTTCACAAACGACAAAGCACACGTTGGAACCATTAGGGAAGCCAAGCCTAACATGAACAACTGGAGGGTCCCATGGTATACCCAACTTTTTCTTTTGCCATGGCCAAGAAACACAGAAGGTCTTGACTGCTATGTGACCCAGCCAGCTGCATGTTTTTCCCAGCAGGCTGGAAATGAAGTTATGGCCTTGAACATGTTTAGGGCATGTTAAAAATTAAACATGTTGCTAAACAGGTAGAAACTATCTCTGGATTCCTCAAACCCTCATATAAACCCTATAACCCACCCCTTTGTTATAGACATAACCTGTATAGCATATCTCCTTTCTTGGTGTCTTGAAGAGGCTGCAGCCTTCTATCTGTAAGTTGTCCTAATAAATGCTTTGGACTGACTACCCTACAGGTTAGTACTTCTTTCTTTGAAATCCCAATCAGCCCCATCCAGGAATGTTCTGTGTAACCCCTGGTAGGGAATGCCCTCCCCCAGCAACTTTTGGGTTATCTCCAGTCATGAGTTTGGTTGGACAGAACAACAACTGAAAAATGGGCCAGCTAGCATAGCAATAATGCAACTCTCTATGGTGATGGATCCACATGAGAAGATCCCGGGTTCCCATCCTAAGGCTTCCGTGTAAACACCAGTCAAGTGCCCATCATGCATGTTGTCTGGGGCTGTGGTTGGATCATGGTGTGGGCACCTTATTGGAACTGCTTGTCTCTATCTCTCATGGAAGAATAAATGAACTTTGGAAGAAGAAAAACTTAAAAATAAATATTTCACCATCCACAAGCTATTCAAAACCCCAAGAACATGTGTTTATTTCCCTTGTCTGTCTCTAGCCAGAGGTGAAAATTTTACGTTTCCCTAACCCCTCCTTGCATCTGAATGGGACTGGCAGTGATCTAGTCTTGGCAGCTGTGGCCACCAGACCAGACTCTAAAGGGCTACAGGAATCTCATCAGCTCTAGAAAGACATTCATGAGATGCTGCCATCCCTCCTGGACACTGGCCCAGGAGAGCAGAGGGAGGCAATCTAGTTGCCTAGGTGTAGTATCCCTGGGCATAGACATACAACTGAGCAGAGGCATCATCAGAGTTTCATAACTTTAGAGCTGAAAGGCAACTCCAAACGCTACTTGTTTATAGATCAAGACATTGAGACCCTAAGAAAGGACAGGGATAGCCAGGTCTCAAAAGGCAAATGTTCAGACTTCAGCTGCTGATCCTATCCAGAGCGCCCCGTTTGCCATCCTTCTTTTCCCAGAGTTCCACAATTAGGTGAGGATGGGTCTCCTTCAGGGCTTGGTAAAGTTGATCTTTGCAGGCTTGGTTCCAGGAGCGGCTGAAGCTAAACAGCTTCCGCATTTGGCCTGGTGTGGTGGCCTCAGCTCGCACTGTCTCATACTGCTCCTCACTCAGCACCTGTCCATGCAGCTTGTCCAAAATAGGGTCCACTGATGTTACTCGAGCCACCAGCTGCTCCCGATACTGGTCCACAAAGTGCAACAAGGCTGGGACATCTGGGGTTGAAGGTGAGAGTGGCAATGAACAAAGAAAGGCTCCCACCACAGCCTCTACTGCCAATCCCACCCACTACTACCAACCCTACCTCTAACTCTTTGCTCACTCATCTGCACTCTTCCTTCCTTCTCTTTCTTGAAAGACATTTGACCATTAGTAAGGCATCTCTCCTCATATTTACATCTAATCTGGTACTCTGCCTGAGTAAAGACTGAAGGTGGAGTTTATGAGTGGGCCATTTGGGACAGTCCAATGG